TTTTGTACACGTTTTAAAACACTCCAGTTTGGCATCTTCGTGAATCCGATCGACTTAAAACTTAATTGATACTTAGACCACCACCCACAGATGGTTCTAGACGAAATTTGTGATCGTGACGTCATCAAGTGTCAGGTTACGTCAAATAAAAGATGCATTTTTCCCAATAGGGTTTGTACATGTATTAAAACGCTCCATTTCGGCAATTTTTGTTAAATCCGATCGACGTTACACTTAGTACACACTTAGACCATTACCCACAGATGGTCCTTGAAGAAATCCGTGATCGTGACGTCATCAGGTGTCAGGTTACGTCACATTAAAAATGCATTTTTTCCCATATGTTTTGTACACTTTTTAAAACACTCCAGTTTGGCATCTTTGTAAATCCCATCGACTTCAAACTTAATTTATACTTGGACCACCACCCACAGATGGTCCTAGACGAAATTCGTCATCGTGACGTCATCAAGTGTCAGGTTACGTCACATTAAATATGTATTTTTCCCTATATGGTTTGTACATGTTTTAAAACGCTCCATTTCGGCATCTTCGTAAATCCGATCGACGTTACACTTGGTACACACTTCGACCATCACCCACAGATGGTCCTAAAAGAAATTCGTGATCGTGACGTCATCAGGTGTCACGCTACTTTACATTAAAGATGCACATTTTCCCCATTGGTTTCGTATCATTTTAAAACGCTCCACTTTGGCACGTTCGTAAATTTGATCGACTATATACTTGGTACACACATATATGGTCCTAGAAGAAATATGTCATCGTGGCGTCATGAGGTGTCAGGTTACATCACATTAAAGATGCATTGTTTACCTATTGGTTTGTACACGTTTTTCTTCAAACCATTTGCAAACTGAACTTCGGAAGTACAAGTCTGATTGGGTTAAAACTTGGTATGCATATTCACATGGGTGTGTTATAGATGGAAATAAATTGTAGTGACATCATCATCAAATGTCATGTGAAGTTCCTTTAAGGGGCATTTTATTCTTTTATAAGTCTATATCTACAGAACTAAAATGTTCGATTTGGTTGTAACTTCACATGTACTTATTATAATGTTCTCTGATAGATGACAATTATAGTGACGTCACTAATTGTTCATCCCATGCTTAGAGTATTTCAAATATCCGAAACAGCTTGTGTTTGTCCACAAACACATTTCTAGGTTGTAATTGTTCCGCGCTCGGTTACATAACTGACATGAATGTAAATATTTCATTACAGCGGGTGCATATTTGGGGAGTGTGTCAAACTGGCATGAAACGTATCAGAAAAATATTTGAATAGAATCTGAAGTGGCCTTTGTTTGATTTTGTTTCGTCAACAAGCCCGGAGCGTGAAAACGGTTTGACTTCATACGCATTGTACGCGGCAGTTGTCCGCGAGTCTCATGGACGTATGACGCGCTAAAAAAATACGCGAAATGAGACTCCGCTACAGTTTGTTTTTAGCCTCGACTCCATGGGCGCGTGCGCGCTCCTTACACTAACCCCTGGCCGTGATGATGACGTAAATGACGCTGATTGGCTATTCACAGCGTAGGCCTACTGTGCGCGCAATTTGAAGATTGGACGCCGGGCGCGCCCATAATGCGCTCGCGTGCTTTGCACGTCACGTCACGTACGAAACAAATTGTTATTCAAAAGTTGCGGTGCCTGTACGATATGGATTTGGGCAACCTCGTTTTTCGCTAAAAAAAACCCCCTGTATCTTCGGTTGTAAAGGGACGAAAGGGGTACGTACATTTAAAACAAAACTTTGCTAAATAACGCAACGTCCAAACGTTTGAAAGGATTGATTCTTCAAAAATCACAACTTTTAACATTGTAAAGATGGCGTCGGCACGTAAGACGTATAAACTGCAGCCTAATTATAATGTGCCCTATTTTGACACATTTAAATTACACAATTACAGGGGTTGAGATCGCGCAAGGCATGATGGAAAACAACATGGCGCAGCACGATCGTACCCATGGGGAACGAGGTTGGTTTGTTTTACCTTGGTTTTATCCGCGTACCGTGCGGCCATCATAACCCACGCATAAAGTCTTAGGAGGTGCGTGAAAATTGCCACGCCTTTTGAACGATTGTTCTTCCTCAAATTCAAAACCCGTGGCCCGTCGGATCACCGTCCGTTTTTGACCGATAGTAAACATATTTTAAGATATTTGCCGGGGGAGGGCGTGCGTCCCCTGCGCCCCCCGCTGGATCCGCCAATAATGTCCCCCGTTTTGTATGGACAATATCTTCAGGCAAATATCCTTTGAGTATATAGAAAGAACAAGTAAATTGTTCCGCGTTTTGGCCGAGGCGACGTTTCTGAGAAACTTAACATGATGATGATCCCGGTAAGGAATGATACTGCGTAAGGGCTAGTCGAGAGAGTCGGGCGTGACCGGACACAGCGTTAACATGACAGCCGGCGGCGAGCTACAAGTCCCCGGAGTGCACTCTTATGCATACCGGGTGAGCGGATTCCTTTATCATTTTCTTGAAAGTTTCCGATTGTCCTATAATTTAGTCAGGTGGCTTAGATCTAATTTTCGTCAAGATCGTGACCGACCGGTCCAAAGCACCAAACTTGGCAGATAGATTCTTATAGACCTAGAGAAGATATTTAGAAGGGGTGTCACCTGAAATTCTTTTTGGAAGGGTGCCTAATTTGCATAATTTGTTAATACCTGCGTATAATATATTTATTCCCATATGGGGGTATATTAAAAAAAAAATTGAAAAGTGTATTTTGGGGATTCTACTTACATATCTTTACTTGAATAACATTTCCAAAGCATATAAGTGACTGAATAATTACGAGGACATAGTAACGATCCAAAATGGCTACTATTATGCCTTAAAGTTGCGCGCATGTACCTTGTCTCCAGATATCATCAATAGTCTTGCCAAACATCAGCATTGGTGAACTTCAAACCCACCAAGTAGCTTACTGGTACAGTTACCCTATGAAAACCGTATGCAAAATCATATGAACAATGATAACATTGTGATATTTAGCCCAGAAAACAAAAACTGGGGGGAAAAAAAGAGGTGTCCATAAAATGGGCTAACAAGTAGGTGAAGGGTTGCCTAACATGGGAGACTGGAACAAGTTCAAGGAAATTACCAAAATTATTGTTGACAAAGCGTTTTGGCGTAGACAAAATTATTGTAAACAAAAATAATCTCTTATTTGGGGGGATTTCGGTGAACTCGTTCAAGTCCCCACGTTACCCTTCCCGTAGTAGCCCAATTTACGGACACCACATTTTCTACCCATTTTTATCTTTTGGGCTAAACATCAAGATGTTATTAATTTTCACACGATTTCCCACTTATTTATGTCAGGGTAACTATGCCAGTAAGTAATTTTGTGAATCTGAAGCTCATCAGTACCCACGTTTGGCGAGACAAGTTGATGATATCTGTGGGAAAAGGTAAATGCGCGCAACTTTAGGGTAAAATAGTAGCAACTTTTGTTCTTTATTATGTCCTCCTAATTATTCAGTCACTTATATGCTTTAGAAATGTTATTGAAGTAAGAATATGCAAGTAGAATCACCAAAATACACTTTTCAAAAAAAATATACCCAAATATTGGAATTAATATATTACACGGCAGGGATTAACGATTTATGCAAATTAGGCACCCTTCCCAAAAGAATTTCAGGTGTCACCCGTTCTAAATATCTTCTCTAGGGCTATAAGCAACATGTTAAGACCTACGCTCCTTTTAGTGGAGAGCGTTTTGCATGCAGCTTTGCTTAGTACTTGTTGCCCTGTTATTGTCTCGCGAAATTCTAAGTCAAAATCATGGATTTCAAATCTTACCAAAGATCAGAATAACGTAGAGCATACGCAATTTACATGTACACAACATAAAAAGTGAGTAGGGCACTGCAACCGGCCATATTGTTGGCCATAGTCATTGATGGGTAATCATAGAGTTTCATATTTCGTTAGTGAAATGGCCACTGGCCAGTAATATAGCATTGAGAGTTTGTCGTTATGTAAGGAGAATTTGGGGGTGTACACTCTCTGGATACAGGTCGTCATGACAATGTCAGTGATTTCCTAACCATTTTTGTTATCATTTCCTGATATGGGCAATTGGCGCTAGAGTGTCCAAATCAATTGTCCTCAATCGGTCCTCCCGGTTAGTGTTCGGTTGCTTATAACCGCCCAGCTGGGCAGCAAGAGCGGCAATTGGGGTCCTTTGTCTGGCAGGAGTGTTGCAGGGTGCCATCCCACAGGTGGCGATATAGTTTGAATCTCACCACAGCAACTTAGTTTGAAATTGGACTTGTAGTATCCTGAGTACAATATCTTATAGCACATTATTTGGGAACACAATTCAATAGAACACCCACAAGTGCATTATGGGAAATAAGCACATGGAAAGTTGTTGAACATGACAGTAGAGTTAAGTTTGAACAAAAGTACACAGTTTGTCTCCGGTCTGTTTCATTCATTAAGTTGTCCAAAAGAAACAGTACACTGGCGACGAGGATTTACAGACATGTAACAGTTTATAGAACTACTGAACAGGAATTTTTCGACTACGGTTGGAGTGATTTTGGCCCGTTTTTTGGAGGACACTTTGTGGCGAACAGAACTGCAAGTACGTGCAACGTGCTTTACTGTACACGTACGTTGACATCGTACACACATACTGTGCAGTGCTTTAGACCAGTGTGTTACGCTACGTCGCTGAAAATGGCGAATTACCTGCACCCGTTCCCGAAACAATGTTGCCGTTCGTTGGGAAAAATATGGGTCAAGCGTTTAGAGAACTTATTTGTCGCCATGAATGTACAAAATGGAGAGAGGAAACGTGCTCTTCTGCTCCATTATGCTAGTGAACATGTGCATGAGATCTACGAGGTAGAGAAACAGACAGATGCTGGAACAGGCGATACATACCAGAATGCAAAGACAGTCGTAGACAAGTACTTCCGACCGAAAAAAAGAACACACAAATGGAGATCTACAACTTCCGATCCACCAAACAAAAGGAGGGTCAGATATTAGACGAGTATGTCACAGAACTACGTACGCTTTCCAAAACATGCGAGTTAACCGATGCAGACAAAGAAATCCTGACAAAGCTAATTCAACACTGCTCCTCCAATCGACTCCGACACAGGGCTCTCCGTGAACCGGACAAAACGCTTACACAAATAATCGACATGGGCCGCACATTGGAAATAGCAGATCAACAGGCCTCAACTAAGGAACGCGAAACTGTCCACACACTGACACGGAAATACAACGACACCAAAACGAAGCGACCCCCAGCAAAAACTGCCAGCCGTGCCAGTGGTCCTAAACGCTCAACACAGCCCAACCAAACAGCGGCACATCAGGCACGATGTAAACTCTGCATTTATTGTGGAGGGAGCTATCCCCATACAGGCACATGCCCAGCGAAGGGACAAACCTGTAACTATTGCGGAAAACTGAATCACTTCCAGCGGGCCTGTATCAAACGCAAGAAAGACACGGCCGTACACAACATCCAAGTGAGTGAGGACGACTACTGCTACACATTGCATAACAATGAACATACAGTATACACACTGTCATTGCCCACAGCCCAAGTCAGAGTAAACAATCGGGAGATCATTATTCTTCTTGACACGGGTTCAACGGTAAACATTCTGGATGAACGTGGCTACGCAAGTGGGGGCAGTCCGCCCATGAAACGCCGCGGACAGTCACAAGTGCATGCCTATGGTGAAGCTTGACGCGACCGATACACATCCTTGGGGAATGTCAACTGACAGTTGAAACTGCCTCCGTCGAACAATGCCACACATTTCTCATAGCGCAAGGAGCCAATGGCTCCCTACTGGGATATGAGACAACAACCAGGCTGCAACTCATCAATGTCGTGCAAGCAGTAACATACAAGGACAAGTGCCAGGAAAAGTATCCTGGGCTCTTCCTCGACATAGGAAAACTGAAAGACACACAGGTGAAACTCCATGTGGACGAAACTGTGAAACCCAAAGCAATCACCAAAGGTGGAAACCGAGATTAAATGCCTCGAACAACAAGACATCATCGAACGCGTGGGTATCTCCAATTGTTACGCCCCAAAGAAAGACGGCTCAATACGCCTATGCATCGACATGCGAGAACCCAATAAAGCCGTACTTCGCGAACGCCACAGCACACCAACAGTGAACGAGCTGATCCACGACCTCAACGGAGCAACGGTCTTCAGCAAGCTCGATCTTCGTTCGGCTATCACCAACTTGAGCTCGAAACAAGTTCGCAATACATCACTACGTTCCACACATACATGGGACTATATCGCTACCAACGTCTGAACTTTGGAACTTCCTCAGCAAGCGAAATCTTCCAAGAGACAATTCGCAATGTCATCTCTGGCATTGAGGGAGCCCGAAACATCAGTGACGACATCATCTGCTACGGAACGGGTCCCAATGCACAACGCGACCATGATGCTGCACTGGAGGCTACGCTGAAACGCCTCCATGAGCATGGCCTAACGATTAACTGGGACAAATGTGAGTTCAACACAAGCACGATCAAGTTCTCCGGCCTTGTTTTCAGCTCGAAAGGCGTGTCACCAGACCCACAGAAAGTTGACACAATCCGAAACACGCCCCCACCGAGGAATGTGCAAGAACTACGCAACTTCCTCGGAATGACCAACTACAGTGCGCGGTTCATCCGCAACTCTGCCACTCTAACAGAACCGCTGAGACGACTCTACAGGAAGGACGCACCGTGGGGTTGGTCTCAAGAGCAACAAGATGCATTCAACACGCTCAAACACGACCTGTCAGAGGACACAAATATCGCATACTTTGACATACACAAGGACATCGAGGTCGCGGTGGACGCCAGCCCCGTTGGCCTCGGAGCCATACTGACACAGGACGGACGTGTCGTAGCTTACGCGAGCCGTGCTTTGACTCTCGTGGAATCCCGATACAGTCAGAAAGAACGCGAAGCCCTTGCCATCGTATGGGCATGTGAACACTTTGACATGTACCCCCGTGGAACACCGCACTTCGTGGTTACCACCGACCACAAGCCTCTCGTAAATATCTGGCATCCTCCATTACGCATCAAGAGGTGGGGTCTCCGACTACAACCCTACAAACTCACAGTCAAGTACAGTCCCGGAAACACAAATCTAGCAGACTACATATCGCATCATCCACTTGCCAACTCCAAGAACACATCTCGCGAACAGAGAATCGCAGAACAATACGTCAATTTTGTGACAACAACGTCAGTCCCTCGTGCGATGAACCTCATCGACATCCAGACAGCAACTTCACGCGATCCGACCCTGCTGAAAGCCATCGACCTCGTCCGCACAGGTCGCTGGTTCGAAATCGAGAAGATCACTGACTCCGCGATCAACGTACCTGAACTTCGTCAGTACCGCGCCAGCAAAGACGAACTTACCTGCCATGTTGATAACATCCTGCTGCGGAATGACAAGATCGTCATTCCATCATCCCTACGTGACCTCGCAGTTTCCATAGCACATGAGGGTCACCAAGGAATGGCGCGAACAAACGCAATGATACGTTCCAAAGTACGGTTCCCAGGTATTAACGAGACAGTAAAACAGACAATAAAGAAATGTCTAGCATGTCAAGCAGCCTACAGCAAACCAGGACCCTTCGAGCGAGCCACTGCGCAAGTCAGAGTTGCCACCAGGAGCATGGCAGAATCTGAGCATGGACTTCTGTGGACCATACCCACAGGAGAATACCTTTAATGGTCATCGTGGATGAGTACTCTCGATACCCGATTGTGGAGATTGTAAAATCAGTGTCCGCAAACACTGTTATCCCCGTTCTGGACAAAATACTGTCAACATTCGGCTGCTGCAAAGTGATCAAGACCGACAAGGCAGCCCATTCAACTCTCATGCCTTCGAGAAATTCGCAGAATACAGCGGTTTCAAACATCGACGCATCACGCCTCACTGGCCACGAGCCAATGCGCAAGCCGAGGCATTCAACAAGTCACTGATGAAACTTGTCCGTATTGCCCATCTTGAACACAAATCTTGGAGGCAGGAGCTCTACAAGTACCTACGGCAGTACCGTGCAACTCCACACCCGTCCACCGGTTTCACACCATATCAACTCATGTTTGGACGCGAGCCGCGTACACGACTACCCCAAATCGAACCGCATGACCAATCTCCATCAGATCACCAAGCGAGGACAAATGACAAACAGGCAAAGCTCAAGCAGAAACAGTACGCCGACAAGAACTGTAAATAGACAAAGATGAAACAAATGCCAAACAGGAAAACTTTGGAAACTGAACTTTTGTGTGTTAATTCTCTTTAATCATTCAAGGGACTGGGCTTTATGATTGTTTAATAAAACTTTGATTGATGTGTTAGTTTCAATTCAACTTGGGGAGGGATGTAGTATCCTGAGTACAATATCTTATAGCACACCATTTGGGAACACAATTCAATAGAACACCCACAAGTGCATTATGGGAAATAAGCACATGGAAAGTTGTTGAACATGACAGTAGAGTTAAGTTTGAACAAAAGTACACAGTTTGTCTCCGGTCTGTTTCATTCATTTAAATTGTCCAAAAAGAAACAGTACAAGACTCATACGCCTTTTATGAGGTCATACACAAATGGGCAATTGACGAGTGATGCCGTTCACTCAGGTTTCACTAATGTTTGTGTGCTCCTATGAAATCAGCCATGAGTCTACAATTGGGTTGTTAAAGTGCAAAAGTGTTAATCGGTGACTAGATGTAAATTGCCGTTTGTTACTAGGTCCCTCACAAAAGCCACATACAGGGTGCACCCCGAGGATATGGCAAGCAGTGGCAGCCTCATCCCGATGAGTTAAGGTCAGCGGGTTCGGCCACAGGACCGGTGACTTGGGAATTAGTGTAGTCTGCAGATTCCTTGCATTGGAAGAAGTAGTGCGCGTTACTCCAACACCTAACACAGAACTTGCTGACCAGGCTGTGGATAGTCGAGGCAAAGCGTTGCCGTCAGGGTGTCGGACATATTTTGTCCACAGTAATTTTTCGTTGCCCAATTGCCACATACAAGTTGACTTTCGAATGTCGCGGGCGATTGAATGACAATCCCTGCTAAAACGCACCGGGGCTTAACCTGACACGTCTACGGAGGAGTCGGACATTTTTCATCACGGTTTGATGGTTGCACGCCGCGCTACAAACCCTCCTCAAGTCAAGTCGAACTCATAGGGGCGTATGGACTTGTGCAGCCCATGCGACAGACTATACATAAACTATTTTTGCCCAAATACGCCCGGTACGGTACCCAGCACCGACAAATTTGGGGCACAGTGAAGGAGAAAATTAATAAACCAAAACATGCAATAGATATTACGTAATTCAGCGATTTGTAACACTCTATACGGAGTATCATATGGTTGCTGAATGTAAACAAGGGGGTAACTTATTTTGTTTCAGGGCTAATGTGTGCTAAAGCAAGATCACAGCCACGCATACTTACACATCACAGGACTTTGAACCGGCCTATATAATTATGTTGAAGTCTTACCATTATTGTAAATGCAGGAATTGTGTTCGCATCCAATTGTGTGTGAAGCCTAATCATTGCGGTGAGCCGCCAGGTCGAAGTTCGTTTACTGAGATACATGTACATTGTGTAGTAGCGTACGAGGTAACGATTTATAGGGGCGATATGGAACTCTGCTTAAGATTATTTACCACACACTCTCATTAAGGGCATGCAGTCTCATATGTAGTCACCACATGGTCAAAGCGTATAAGAGCGGCATCATACAAGAACTGATGATAGGCCCCATGTTGTTAACTATTGGGGGTGGCTCTCAACAATATGTAACCGATCATGACTTAGGAGTTAGGGGTTGTCCCCAGTTAAAGTAAAGTTGCGGTAAACGTCAACTCTTGAGTTATCATATGAACCATACTTGTGAAGGGGTGCCTGCAGTACAGTAAAGTCATATGTGCGAGTTACAAACAGGCCGGTCGCTCATCACTTATGGTTTAAGTGTTGTCTCCGGTAAAGTTGCCATAAACGCAAACCAGGTTGATTGTATTAGAAGTTGTAGTCGATCGATGATTATGGGTATACCAGGTTGGTTATAGACAATTCGTAGTCGGGCATGACTATTGAAGCCTGGGATAAACACAGTTTTCTACTGAATTGTGATTGATTGGCAAACTAGCTGGTTACGGTGACAAAACATGGTAGTTGATAATGCGTAAGTGGTATAAGAACAAGAGGTGTAACACTTAATTGTAGTCGATCGTGACTTAGTGGTAAATTAGGTTCGTTATAAATAATTTGTAGCCAATCCCGATTTATTGGTCAAACCCAGGTTTGTTACGCCTTTGGCAATCGAGCAGCTATTACGGGTACACCAGTAGTCGATCATTTGACTTATTTGTAATTATTCTGAACAGTCAATCAGGATTTGATGGCAAACCAGTTTGATTAGGCCAAAAAAAAAGTCTCCGGTTTCTGGTATGGAGCTTGCCCCAAAAGTGGTGCGGCGACGCAGCTTTTTTTTTTTTTTACCTGTTTTTTTTTTTTTTTGCTTCAAATGTCGGCTGATGACTGCGAATGGTGCCCGACTAAACTTAGTGCAAATATATGGGAGTCCAGAGAGGCCACATAAAGCTTATTCTCGATCATAACCCCATCTAAAAACACGTTAAAATTGTGCAGCAGCAGGATTCCAGTCAAACCAGTGAG